GGATTGTGAAACGAAATTAAAATTATATAAATCTCTTCCCTGCTGGTTGTCTGCGTAAGTGACATTAAATGTTTCCGTATATGTACCCATGCCAGGCCACTGGGATCCCATTCCAGAAAAGACAAACCAAATGGGCCTTTTCACGCCAGAATATTGTTCAATCTCTTTGACTGGTTTTTCTGATGGTTTGGAACTAAGGAGTGTATAGCCTCGGAACATGTATCCAGGTATGTCTTCGGCATGTACATCTTGTAAAAGTCGAATGTATTCTACGTCCACAGGTATACTTTCCAAGTGGCTGAGGAGGATGTCCACTGCTTCCTTTGTGCGACCAGACACTGCTACCAATCGAGGCAAATCATCAGAAGGTGCTCCATTGTTCACTTTCTCCTTCGTGAACGATTTCAGCAAAACGTGAACATTTGCGCCACCGAAACCGAACGAGTTTATCCCTACGTAGCCACCCTCCCATGGAGTTGGTTCCGTAACTACTTGAAGTTTTCCTTCCTCGAAACATTTCACACCGTTCGTTGGACTTGTAAAGTGCAAATTTGGTGGAATTAAACCGCTTTCCATCGCAATGATGACCTTGAAATTTTTTGCGATTATTAGTTCTTATTTGGAAGAAATAAATCATTTATCCTTTAAAACATCATATCATCAATGTACCTTAGCCACTGAACAGAGACCGCTAGCAGGTTCTGTATGACCCATATTCGATTTAACGGAACCAATCTTGAGGGGTGTACTTCTGCCCTGACAAAATACTTTATCGATCGCGTTTAGTTCTTCAGGATCGCCGACTCTAGTTCCTGTGCCGTGAGCCTCCATGAAGGCCAGATCGTTAGGAGATACCTTGCACTCCCGGTAGAAATCAGTTAGGAGCATTTTTTGCACTTGGCTAGCAGGGAATGTGATTCCTTGTTCTTTATAGCCATCGCAATTGCTTTTCGTATAGACAAGTTGGGCGTAAATTCTCTTGGCATTCTTCGCCTTCTGTAGAATTATAGTGCTGACCGCTTCACTACGGACGTAACCGTTTGCTCGGGAATCGAAGGATTTGCATCGACAATCAGGGGACAGTACACCTACGTGAAAGTAATATTCAATCATTATTCGAGGTAAGTAAACGTTTGTTTTGCTTCTATATTTCTAATTTGATACTAGTCGTAATTAATATTAATTTTATAAAAATGAAATAGCAATAGTTTGCTAATTCATTCGATTTAAAGTGTTAAGACGTTGCGCGTAATTCTTCGATTTAATTAAATTATTAAATTTCACCGAGTCGCGCGAACTGAAGAGATACATAGGGATGAAGACAAAGATTAGAGCCACCGACGATCACTGTATCACAAATTCCTTGTCGCATCAGTCTGTAAGCGTGATCTAATGCAGTTAAACTTGAACTGCAAGCAGTGTCAATCGCATAGGATGGACCGTTAAGATTGAAGAAGTAAGAGATTCTGTTGGCCAACATCGCTCTGCTGCATCCGGTGATACCGAAACCGTTCGCCTAGAATATAATCGAGTCACCTGAGATATACTGGCAATGAAACTTAAATTGATAATTGAAAATTTAATAAGTGATATCGACGACATTTACTTGCAATTTTTCATAGAACCAAGTCTTTTCTGATTCACTGATACAAGATCCTATAACAACTGCGGTGTTCGTCCCTCTGATTTCTTTAGGATTGAGCCCCGCGTCGATTATTGCTTCGAAAGCAGTTTCGAGCAATATCCGACACATAGGATCTAGAGTATGGGCTTGCTTGTAATGAACACCGAAAAATAGCGCGTCGAATTTTTCCAAATCCTTCAGTTTTCCACCGTCCCTAGGAATTTCCGCGTGGTCTGTTCGAATTTACAACTTGTTACATTCGTCTCGATTAATTCCAACCATTTAATCGTCGATTACCTAGTTTCCACCTCGAAAAGTTCTCCGTAATGAGATCCACTTTGTTCATCAAATTATTTTTCAACTCCGACATATTGCTGCTGCTCGGAAACTTTCCGGAAATCCCGGAGATCACCACCTCTTCCCCAGGCTCCGTCATAGCATAGTTTATCTTCATTGCATCTACGTGCGTGTTGCAAGACATTTTTGCTTTCGCCTCAGAATACACTTCGTTAATTTCTGTTCTCTCCTTTTACTTCCTTTCGAGTTCACTTCCTTACTTATTACGATACCGTCAATAACAGGTACAATTTAAGAAGTTACGACAACGAAACGGGTGGAGGATATTTTAATCTAAGCTCGGATATTTAATTAATATCATCACGATCGATACTGAGATCACTGATACAATTGAAGAGTGTAGAAAAGTAGAGGGCCTATATATAATAATGTTTCTCCCCTCTATTTGAAGGTACCTTTTCGGATTTAAATATTCTTAAAGTTAATTTGCATAAGATTGTAACCGTAATGACCTTTCAAAATCAAGTCAGATTATTCAATATTGAGGACCCTGGCCAATCTACTTAGAAGCATTGACCCTTTCTAAAATGTTTCGATTATCTTAAAAAAAGAACAAAATACACTGCGGTATACTGAATGTCCCAGTACGTCTCTTCTGAAATCTGGAAATTTGAATTTTTTTTGAAAATTTGAAAACCTGTGCTCTACTAAATCGGGCCTGCTCTATTGAATGATGATATTGCCGACTTCCGGTGCGGACCGAAAGTGTTTTTTTTTTAGATCGGAAATCAATTTTTTCGAATGGAACCGTTCATATTTTCATAACGGATTCGGATTCTACGCCAAATGATATACGTGTTTTATTGAAAACATTTTGTTCTAAAACTGCACTTTTCACCCTTAAATGACTTTTAAATTTGTGATATTGAAAACAGATGATCTTTTGAAACTAATCGTATAATTATTTTTTTAAACGAAGTTAAATGAAGCTTTTTGATGATTTATTGTTAGATAGCTAGAAAACTAGGAAAGGATTTATTGTTAGATAGCTTTCTAGCTATCTAACAATAAATTTCCTGTAAATATATGTTTCCTGTAAAATTAAGTTTCTGAAGTTAAAGGCAGTTTCGTGCGGACAAAAGTTAAAATGTAAAGGCCATTTAGGGATGAAAAATGACGTTTTAGAAAAACTGTTTTAAACGAAAGATGCATATTTATCGGTATAGAATACAAATACGTCATAAAAATATGCAAGTTCCATTTGAAACAACGGACTTCCAATTTCGGTGCGGACCGGAAGTGGATTTTTTAGGCCGGAAAGTTTAGACCATTAGTAGGGCAGGCTCGATTTAATCAGACCAAGGCCGGTATTTAAAGTCATTGCTTATTCTCAAGATCGTCTTAGTTTCAAGTCCCTGTTTCCTGTACAAGACAGAGACTGGAAACATGGGATAGACAAGGATAGCAAATGCTCAAAACGGTCTTAAGAATAAGGAATGATTCTGAATACCAGCCTAGGTTTCCAAATTTTCAAAAAACTCAATTTTCCAGATTACAGAATGGGTATACGGGTGGTCTGGGACACCCAGTATTATCGATTAAATAGCCTATTGTAGTTTGTATAAACATTAAATCCATTGGCTACTAGGAATACAAGAAGGAAATAAAGGTAGAAAATAAAACAAGTTGGGAAGTTCATTGTATTTTCAGTTTATTTATTAATACAATGATATTATGTATAAATTAACTTCCTATGTAAATTAAAATATTTAATTGATTAATTATTTACATTTATTGTATTTTGTGTAAGAATATTATGTGTAACTATGCGTTATATAATATATAATAACTATAGTATAATTCCGCAATTCCTTCAAACGGCAGCCTAAACTGAAAATCCAGCAAAATTAAATTAATTTCAATATTTTCTCAGATCTAATAAATGAAACTGATTCCACGATTACTGATTACGAATCATTAGTGAATATTCGAAGTTGAATCATTACGAAGAATATATAATAAGTATTTGCACATGACTAACTGTTTTCACCATTCTCAATCAATATTCTTTGATTCGATGTTATAGATGTCAAGAGTTCCCGGATGTCGCATAACTCTACATAAGTAAGTACGTTTATAACTTGTTTGTGAGTCCAACTGCGAAAGCATACATTTAAATTTTTACATAAAGAGTAAGCCAAATTATAAAGTATTATAGAATTTAGTTAAATCTAATCAGCAAACAAGGACAGTTATTCCGAAGTCATTTTTTTTTTTTTTTTTTTTATATATATATATATAGAAGTCCATCACGCTAATACTAAATTTTATCATGCGTTTAATTTTTGTTTTGCGTAAACAGGAAAGAAAGTACTATATTTGCTTCGACTTGTTTATTTGAATTGTTGTAGATAAAAAAACTGCGTGCCTGGAAGGATAGTCTCCAGCGATATTTTTTTATCGTAGGTCATGTATCAAACATATACTCATATACGCAACGACATTTGCATTTGTCAGTTGCATATTTAAGTAATCGATTCTGGTTCACGAAGTACAACCGGAAAAACGCAGAGGTGAACTTGAACCTAATTAATCTGTATAAGGCCATCCAATATAGGTATCCAAGCATTCGATGGAAACAATTTAAATTTTGACCACGAGAGAGTAGTAGTAGAGACATGGGAGAGAGAATATGAACACATTTGACATAAATTTTTGCATTTTATTTGAAACTGCAAAATTACAAAAATTTTTAATAGTAATATAGAAATTCGAAAATATATTATTATCATAGTAATCGCATTTAATA